ATTATTATTACTTGTCGAGCCAGCAGCTGTTTGCAAATACCGAATTTGACATTATAATATTATGTGTTATATAAACTGCGGCGCCGTTTGAGGGGCGAACGCCGAGTACAACGTTGTAATAGCGTTTATGCTATTTTGTCACACTTGATTTTCTACTGCCAATATATTATCAGTTCACGGCTCATGCACATATGTATGCTTTAATTGAACGCGCACCCGGTCTCTTAAAATAAAAATAAAAATCGTCCAGTGATGTGGAAAAATAATTTAGCCCGCGCTTAAGAAGACCAAAAATTTGATATTTTAAGTTTTTTTTTTAAACCACTCGTGTGTATCATGTAGGTGTTCAAATAACGATTTTTGATTGGTTTACTCTGCAGTAGTGCCTAAATATAATGCCAATATTAATATTTCTTAATCCACTAGATACCGTCGTTAGCCCGGTCGAAAATAAAGCCAACGACGGTTACATAATATGTTATTAAGGTTAATAGTAATTATATTAACGCCTTTTGAACTGCAAGTATATTGTACACACACCTACCTACTTGTCGTCCCCTTCGTCGCCGACGTTGTTTTGCCGCAGAAAACGAGGTAATTATTGTTGTTGTTGTTATTATTTTTTTTTTTTGCTGTACACTACTATATATCAACGGTAATTACTGTTGATTTATCTTAAATAAAAAAAGGTGTACCTACCGTTATAACGATTGCACCGCGGAGTCGCCCCAAATGGCATATTTGCGTGTCTTGGCTCCGTGTCGACCGACCGACACATAAATATCTACTAGGCAGGTACTCGCAACATTATTAAAGTAAAAATAAAAATGTATTAATATATATATTTATATACAAATGGTTATGAAAAATAAAAAAGTACATAAACACACTTACAATATATTTTGCTGTTTTGGATTATATTAGAAAAAAAATACATATTCTGCGACATGCCACAGTTCATCATAATAATAATGTTATAAAATTAACCTAGACACTAGAGTCTATATGTTCCCAGTTTACAACTATAATATGGTTATATTGAATGAGAGAGAAGAGAAGATCAGTATAACAAGTAAATGCAGTCATGAATGCCATTTATGTATCAATAATTGCAATAGCAGTCACATAGGTTGGCGCGGATAGGTAAATATATAAAGTTTGTTTCATTGTGTTTACATAATATTATTTATTTATTTTTATTAATAAAGACATATTGTATACCGCGTTTAACATAGTATACCTACATACGATATTATTATACCTAGTAGCTGAAGCTGTAATTAATATATACCTACCCAATGCAGTATATATACCTACACAGCTGTGTATACTTGATATCTGCCTGTATATAATATTATAATAATACACATGTTATATGCATATTAGGTAGGTATTAGACAGCGGATAGTATAATATAATATACTATAATATAATAAATGGGCGACAACGGCATACTGCGGGCAATGTATATTGTATAGAAAGTAAGTAAAATATAATATTATTATACAGCTGAAAAACATAAAACTTAGGTATACATACATACATACATATTACATACAGATACATAGTAAATATATATATAATTATAACTTAACGATGATTTATCTCTGAGCACACGATGATTTATACCGATCGATTACCTATATATACGTTTCATATTATTACCGTCTATATTATAATATATTATAATATATATGTATACAGAGAGAGAGATACAAATACATCATTACGGATATCACCGCGTTAACCTACATTGTACAAGGCGCATATACCTACACACAAGAAGGTCGCATCTTATCCCACGGGCATAACAGCTGTACGTTTTCTTAATAATTTCTATATCTTCTCATGTACCTACTTACCTCGGCTACTACTCGATAGATATATTATTATAATAGAATAGGTAATAGGTATATCTATGACGTCGCACAGAAATAGACAGATCGCTTTGTATAATAATAATAATAATAACATTAATTATACCGGATAGTAATATACCCAACTTATAAAAAAAGTTATATATACCTATAATACCTACACATATATTTCTAATAGTGTAAACGCGCAGTCAAACTTGGGTAATGGACTGTAAGTAATATATCCTATGCTTGGTATACCGAAGGCTTTTTAGAGTCATTTTTTCTCCATTCGTTCCACGTCCTTCGCTGTATATGACTGCAGTGTAGATACTTGTATACATATATAATAGATAAATATAAATCTTATAATATTATGTCTGTACGACGGTTCTTGGAACGTCCGCTCCACTTAATTATAAGCACTTAACTACGAAAACATTGGAATTATATTCGACCCCGAAACCGATAGATTAATTGACCAAAATGAAAGCTTGATCGCGACCGGATTTTTGTCATGGGTTGACTTGAAATCATAAAAAAAAAAAATCTTAAAAAAATTCCCAAGCACAAAATGTATCTATGGTTATGTAATATGGTCTTATAACTATTATTTGGCATTTTAAAATACATTTTAAGATGAACCTTTTTTGAGTTTATAATCATTTTTTTTTATCTTATCTGAACTTTTGTTTGACTGTTTGATTGGAAGGCTAGTTTTTTTCCCCCTTTTTAAATTCTATACCATATTAGTCCGGATATAAGGTATATGGATTTGGGTTGCACATTAGCCAAAGAGGTTAATATGTAGATAGCTCACAGGATTGGAAAACAGAGTTATTTAATTATAAAAACGTTTAAGCGTTTGAGGTTGTATGCGTTTACAATATATATATACCTATGTGTGTGTATCTTTATTTTAAGTCGTTGTTGGTGTTTTCCCCACAACGGAAATAAAACAATTAATTAAAAGAGCTGATTTATATCTGTTACAAAAATCGATTATCATATATTTACATAAGTAATTGGTACATCCATGTATGCCTGTTGTATATAATAATAATATATATATTGGGTATTGATTGTATCTACTATAGGTATATGTATATTATTATTCAACTCCGGCCGCAGCAATAAATTGTACCGTTTTTGTGGATGTCGGTAAAAAGTTAATAATGATAAAATTCGTTTCTTAGATACATATTATTATTATATATTCTTATACAAATAATAAAAAACGTGCGTGGGCGGCGTTGAGTTGATATCTGTATAGGTACCTACACTTGGTGCGTTCATTTTGTTTTTATCATTTCTAATTGGACTTGTTTTTCGGTGAAGAAAAAATATTATTATTCTCTTTACGTTTAAAGTTTGGACCGCCGACCGAGTGGACGTTATAAATGTATGGTAAAAAAAACTCCAGGAAAAAATACTTCTAAAAACTTACCCAAAATCAAATAAATTACACATTAAAAACGGTAAATCGTTCAATGTTTAATATCAGTCTTAAATGACCATGCTGTTTCTACTTTATTATGTGTATATAACTTAACTATATTATTTAATCATACGCTTAGACTTTTATTGCTGTAAACAAAAAAGTTTAAAAAGAAAATGTAGATATATTTAAAAAATATGATTTCAAGGATGTATAGTAGTAGTTCGTAACCACCTTATACTTACAAAATAAATTTGACCTATGTGTTCAGTGTATAGTATATTATGATGACCTGAGTTTCTCAAAAAACTTAATTAAATTTAATACAGCCAATAAGAGGAATGATACAGAAGCGGTCTGGCTTTAGGTAGGTACAAGAGAAGAAGACACATGATGGATATATAAATATATATACATTTCCTCATTTCCTCATCTCGGTGGCTGATTCATGATTGTATATATATATATATATATCCATTGGGAGGCATTATATATAATTTGAAAAGAGGGTCGGTATGTAGTTTTCAATTATCCTTGGTCATATACACCCTATGTGAAGTCCACCATTGAGAAGTGGTATAATACGTTTTTGTAAAAATAAATTAAACCTTAACGGAGTGATTCGTTAAGGGTATGGACATTATATTGTGATGACTTGACCTTAATGAATCAGTACCATATATTATATTAAATGTTGTTAATACCATTGACTAGTAATTATTATGTACCTATTTAATTTATAAATCTAAATTTTAAAAATCTAAAAAAAATATTATATAAACTTCGGAGTGACATTAAATAAATAATTATTTTAACTACCGCAACTATATTTTAATTTATGATATATTTTTGTTAAATTGTAAGCAATATAACTAAATCTTCTTCTTGGCATCAAACAAATATTTCTGTTAGAACTATATAAATGTACCTATTGATTAAAATGTATGAATAAGTATAAGTAGTGTGTTTTTATTAATTATAATAATGTATTTCAAGATTGTATGGAAATATATTGTATGTGAAAAAAGCAAATATTATAGAAATAATATACCTATTCATATGCTATACAGATTTCTTATTATAATAAAATTGTCACTATAAAAATGGTGCATGTTATTGTCATTGAGGAAATTAATTAAATTCAATTTTTAATTTGAACTTGGGTAATTAGAGCTGCTACAAATAGATGTTATTGTTAGTATGAATTTGTTTTGCTCATGTGAACACAGTCGCTACACCTACACTATGACTAAAGAACAATTTACACTGACGGGTGTGTAATAAAATAATATCATAATATTATAGAAGAGTATGACATTATATTATTAAGTATTGTTTAGACGTTTATATGTTAATAATATACAACAACAATAAAATAATAATAATATATTAATAAAGAGACCGATTTCGTTGTTATATTATTATTATGATTGTTTTGTATGTGCGCGCCTTGTACAAGAAGTGTACATAGACCGTCGTCGCGGTCGGTCAATAATAATAAACAGCTCAATCGGCGGCGGGTGCGCCCGTGGGCCAATAGCGGTCGGGTCGCGCGCCGGGTGTGTCCCGGGCGGTAAGCCGTCCCGGCCATTGGCCCGGCGCCCGGGACGGCGGCCGGCGGGGGCCGGTGTGCCGGGGCGGAGTCAACAGCCGCGCCGTCGACGGCCGCGGACGCCGCTCCGAAGCGCGTCAGAGTGTGTCTGTTGTCCTCTGCGGATAATATCACATAACACACGCGCGCGCGCTAATATAGAGATCCAGCGCTGCCGCCGCCGCCGTCGTCGTCGGATTCGGAGTCAAACCGTTACCGTTTTTCGGACAAGACGCGCGCGGTCGCACCACTGAACGTGTGTTATGTCCAAATAATATAATATTAAAATACAATATTAATATTTCGAATTGCGTTTTTTTTTTATTTGTCTTAATGCGTCGGGATTGTACCTACCTATCATATTGAATACACATTTTTACAATAAAAATTATTATCGTGCCCCCTACCGTTTTAGTGCGCGCTATGGCATTGGAGACGGAACGGTGCAGCCCGAACAACGCATCTAGTCCCGGACCGACGGACAACAATCGGCGTCCAGGCCTGGACGACTGTAGCGATCAGACCAAAGAACAGAACATGGCCACGGACACGGGCACGGCCATAGCCACGGCCACTGGACCGTCGTCCGTCATGTCCACGGCGTCGTCGTCGTCATCTTCGGAAGAGTTCTCGCCAAAGCGCACGTTGACGGCGTCGTCCGCGTTCCGGCCGGTGGTGCAAGTGGTCGTCCGCGCGGACAACGACGACGACGAAAACGACGCGGCTACCGCGAACTTGACGTTGTCGTCGCCGCCGGCCGTCACTAACAAGCCGTTGAGCATATGCTCGCCGCTGCAGAACAAAGACGCGGCCGTCAAGTCGTCCGCGTCGCAGGCCATCTACAAAAAGGCCAAACCTTCGTCGTACCGGCCGTACGACGGAGCCGCCAGGTGGGTTCACCAACAACAGCAACAGCAACAACAACTCCAGACACCGCAACCGACGGCGGCCGCGGCCGCCGAGTACGCCGCTTTGGCCGCCATGGCCGCGCACGTGCCGCCAATGTTCCATTTCAACAGCTGGATGTACCGTTTCAATCTGTTGCCGGCCGTCGGCGTGCCACCGCCGGTTGGGGCCGTGGAGTACTTCCAGAGTTCGCCGCCCCCTCAGCCACACGATCTGTTGCACCGTACCATACAGCAGCCCGTTCAACCCGTTGTCGCACATCCCGCGATGCATTACAACAGCACCATGAACACGTGTTCCCGTCCAACTAGCACTTCCGGTTCGGATGTGTCGTCGTCGTGTACGGTCAAAAACTACAACAGCAGCAGCTACTGTCGGTCACCGTCGCCGCGGTCGCCCAGCCCGTTCCGGTTGGCCTTTTCCGTGGACAACATACTTCGACCGGAATTCGGCACGAAGACCACAGCGGCTTCGGGCAAACGGCGTTCGCGCGGCTCGACCGCGTCTCCGCCGCCGTCGCTGCCGCCGCCGCCACAACCACAGCACTTACCGACGACCGTGTCGGCCACGGCCACGGCGATCAACAGCAAACTAGCGCCGCCGACGGCCCCGCAGCCGTCCAACAAGCGTGCACATCAGACGGCGGCCGTCGACGGCAAAGCGTCCAAGCGCAGCAAGCAGCCGCCGTCGCTGGGCAAGCCACAACCGACCACGTTACCGCCGCTTCAAACGCCGCCGCCGGCGTCCCAACAGACGGCCAAGTCGACGGTGGACGCCACGGCCAACAACAACAACAGCGGTAGCGACGGAGACACGGCCAACACCACAACGTCCGACAAAGAGATGTGGCCCGCTTGGGTGTACTGCACCAGATATTCCGACAGGCCGTCTTCCGGTGAGTTACAACAATAACAATAATTATAAATCTTAATATTACTATCGGCCATAATTTCAAAGGTGGGGGGGGGGGTCCAAGACAATAATTAAGATGGACAAATGCCATAGTTAACCAAAGTCACTAAAGTGACATCGAAAATCAATAAGTTTCCAAATTCTACTAGTGTTTTGTCATCGGTGGCCAAAAGCGATTACTTTGAAGTCCAAGAACTGCATTAGTAGATTTTCATCTTCTCATGAACAGATTTTTTGTTTGTTTTTTTACCGTTTTTTTTTTTTGGTGATCTCGATTAAAAAACATTAAGTTTAACAGAAACCACATGTATCATATATTAAATATAATGTAGGATACATCATACTGTATGATTTACCATTGAAACGAGAAACTCCAAATTAACGACGTCCGCCTTGTACGATTGTATAATACAACAACCGAATATAATATATAGACCGAAGCTTAACAATATAATAAGCGGATAACATAACGATCTTGATAGTAAAATAACAATAATAATTGGGATATAAATATATAATATATCCTTGTACAACGAACGGGTAGGCCATGTATACCAATCGTCATAATACAATATAACATTTTATATTTTTATATGTATTTGTTTAATGTTTTTTTTTTTTATCATAACAACTTTAATTGTAGCGTTTCTCGTTACATATAGAAAAAAACATTATGCAAAACAAAATAAATAATGTCAAACGGGTCTGGGGCTTTGCTGATTAATTATTATCAGTGTTGAGAACCGAACAATTTTCTGAATGTCGTTCCTTACATAAACCATTAGTCATTGACAATATTGGATAAATATATTAAATCATGGACATACATAGTTTGCGTTTTGTTTTCATATACATTTCTAAAGGATTTATATTATGGATTGGACAGGAAGATTAGCAGCCGTTAATCTTTAGTATAATATATTAATATTATTATAATATTATAATAGTTGTACCGGCACACGTGCACATAGAGTTTATAAAGTGTAAACCTACTCAAGAAATTGAGTCATTCTCGGTCAGGCACGCGAAAACCGAATAAAAATAACATCTAAGTACCTATCTATATAATAATACAGACATGACTAGGTATATATAAATAAACATTATAATGATTCGTTCGATTTACCAAAACGCTCGTTTTTTTTTACATATTAGCATACACAATATTATATCATAATTTATTTATTATACCGGTTGTCCGTATGGCAATTCGCAACAGCCTGACGACGCGTTCAAGGGTGATGAGGGCACATAGATAATAATATTACTGTCATAAGCATGCAAGTACCTATTTACAGCAGACGGCCGATTGTTGCGGAGGTTCAACCCTTTACACCCCAATTAGTACTTAGACTTTATATAACGATACTATCTTGTCCGTTCAGACGCTAGAGCTTAGGAACCACCGTTTTGTAGGGAAAATAATGTTTTCATTAATATAATAATAGGTAGGTGTATACATACAGCAAAAAACACAGTGAACGCATTGAAACGAGTCTTGTGCAGATTACAATAATTGAATCATTTTGGTCCTGCACGAGTACTCCAATGCTAGACAAAATTGAAAAAAAAAACACTAACTAAATAGTTGTTAAAACGAAAAAAAATCTATCTTTACACATAATAAGTTCGGTGGTGTGTCTTTTATTTATGTGAACGCAATACCCGAAGGGGGATATACCATCGTCGGCAGCCATTTTGAACGGTTGAGGCGACCGGTGTACACGATTCGTATATAATATTATAATACACAGCTGAGGTATACAGTATAATACGGCTGCTAAGTATAATATTTTGATCCGAAGCCGCTTATGTGGGGGATAATAAAAACCCGTGTTTTCATTTTTTTTTTTTTTATATATATACAATAAAATACATCAACCGACGATTTTCACACCGCGGTAAACGATCGGGGGTGTTACACGGCAAAGGGGTCGTCGTTGTGACAACTATACAGCATTATGAGCAGAAGCATTTCACCCTCTTGTGTATAATATTATTACTTACTGTTATTATACACTACACACAATATGTATACCGCAAAACTCTTGTACACAATGCGACTATTATTATATTATATTATTTTCGTTTATCTGCCACCGCGGCCGCGGTATGCTTTTGGCGCGGCAAACACATTTTTATTATTTATCATCCGTGTATCTCTCCCCCGTGGGTCCCACATCGGATCTTTACGTATAATATAGGTTCGTTTAAACCAAAAAGGGGAGGATCGGCGATTTTCGTGTGTGTCGCGGTTTGTGCCTTATGGTCACAATTGACTCGAATAATAACAATAATATGATATAATATTATAAACGACGAGCATCACCCCCCCCCCTTAACATCACCCCCCATGGAGATGGGTATGAGGTGTATACAGTATACACGTGTTACCGTATATTTTTTTATTATAATGACAACCACGATGACAATAATAACACACTACATTGTCCGTTAATACCTCTGACCGGGTGTGTGTATAAATGTCTCTGAGGAGCTTTTTTACTACCGCTCGCTTAGGACAAGGATAATAATAGGTACTATAAAACCAGACGAGGAGAGTATAAATCATATTTTGAAGTCTAATAAAAATACATTCGAATATACGCGACATTTGGTCGTGTACAACATAATATAATGTTATTAGTATTATCATTGTAGTTGGTTAAAAATCGTCATCTGTATATATGATTATATTATGTAAATTGGCAACGACTAACAAACGGCTATTAATTGCAATTTAAAGGGGGAAGTGACCGCTAAAACGTTTATATTGATAATACCCAACATGGAACATTGCACAATACCGCATATTATAACATAATAATTGGGTTAATGTACTCTGATTAGCCAGTTGAACACAGACCGGACGAACGGCCTAAGACTATATGAATAGACTTTATATAAAAGACATTGGCGGAGATCAATGCCTTGGGATTTAAAAAACCTTAAGATTTAAAATTAGCGTTAAATATTGTAATAAAAAACAAAAAATTCGCATAAATTTAATACTCAATTACACGGTTGCGGTGTTTGCGCTGTAAATACATACATACATACCTACATATGGTATAGTAGCATAATAATTTAATACAGACATTATTGCTGGTGTTGTTGTTCTTATAATATGATATTATAAGACCTACCTATATAATAAGACGTTAACAACCGCGCACGACGGTTGATAGGTGTAAACCGCGCACGTAACTAGATGTATAATACATTACATATGTACCTATATATTATAATATCTATAAAACAATTTATATATAAAAAAAATAATTATTTTAAAACGGGTTTCGATAATTTTGACGATATTGGCTGGCAGCGACGGTTTTAGACGATTCATAATACATAATTATAAGCTGGCCAATAAGCGATAAATTATTAGTATAAATAACGGGGATTATCACAAAATCTTAAACTAATATTGTTTAGAAAAATAGAAATTATTTTATATTATTCCTTGTACCTTGACAACCCATACTGTCAGCCAGAATGGTAAAATATACCGAGTTGTTTAAACAAGATTTTGTTACTCTTATTATAATTATTATATATACATTTACATCAATGTTTATGTTTGTATCTTCTCCTCGTGTCAGTCAGCTGTGTTTGAATATGTTAGTATGTATAATTATCTGCCGATAATCTTCTTCCAGTGTAACGATTTCCTTTAAGGATTATATTTTCTCAGTTTACCTAACACATAAATAAAACATATAATTAATATAATCAATTGGAACGATTTATGTGAACATTAGTATATGTACTTATTAAAAGCAATAAGTAAGAAGTTATTACTATAAGCCGGTTATAGAGGCGATCGTTGTACATGGTAACTTAACTACATTGAGTAGGCAACTTTATACATATAAATGTTTATTATATTTTTTTATGGAAAATATTTTTGTTTTTGCCAAATAAAAACTTTGTTGGTGTTCGTGACCGTTGTGATATACATTATACCTATTATGCCTGTTATGAGCCACACGAAATACGTCCCAAATCGAATTGACTGTATAAACATATTATTATATTGTTATTCTTTTCTTTTAAGGAATAACTGCGAAAAAAAACCAAATATCCGCACGCGCTCCGGTTGTACAATAATACACATAATATTTCACAATAATTTACCTATACAAGTCCACCGGTCGACTACAATGTACTTGTAAGTACATAAAAAAAATAACCATTCTAACAGCCAATAACGAATGTCGTGAACAACATCTTTTTGGGGAGATAAAAAAAAACGTTTAACTCAGCCGTCAAACGTTTTAACGGTGGCAATATAATTTTTTTTTTATTAGTAGGTACTTACTCGTAAAAAAACCGACAAATCAAAGTCGAGGGCAATAATATTATATATTAGTAGTAAAAAAACACATTGTACGATTATTGTATAGGCAATACTGTTGTAAAATATTATAGAAAAATATAGAAAAATCTAATTTTCAAAAATTAATCAACAGAAGTTTGACATCTCGGCTAAATACTAATAGAATCTCAACGTGTTAAGATGTTAATAGAATATATTATCTGGTAGTTCCTACTGGCTAGCACCGTCATGATTAAAAAAAACATGGAAGACCGCCTAAAAAAACAAGAGGGTGTGACTCGCCACGTTTTTTGGGAGTAGGTATATAATTTTTTTTTCTACTCTCCTTTTTATACCTACGGGCAAAAAACAGATATTATATTCCCACCCAACGTCCTAGATACCTGTACATAGGTTAGGTAGGGTACCACCTAAGTACGGTGTTTGATAATTATTATTATAATATGTATATTGGGAGAGTGGGTACATATATAGGTATATTTTTTTTTTCACTGGCACTATACCTCTAGGTACTAGTATCCGGATAGTATAACGTATGTTAAATCTATTAAAGTTCATAATGTTGTTTGTGGAGAAAATAAAATAAAAAAAAACCAACAAGGGTCGCCGGTCGCGGTGGGGCGATAAAGAACCCGTACACGTGTTACGACCCCGAAAGTGCCATATCATCGAGCAATAAACCCTTTTTTTGTGCTTGGGCTTTTGCAGTGCACGGCAGAGATAAGCCTTGTCCGCCTTCTCGGTTTGGACCGTTTACACGCCCTGTAACAATATTAACATACAACCCCGTGTTATATTATTTTTCCACCCCAACAGCTCTGCGACGATGCCGGCTAATCGTTTTACGATGATTATTATTCGCCCGTCTCTTCTCCCCTTCCAGGAAAATGCGCCAAACAAGTCTTTTGCCACGCCTCGAGTCTCTCTCGGGAGACAAAAGTACAAGAGTTTAAGTATTAATCTTGAAAACGATTAACCGCATTGATTATAAAGACCAAACGATTTCAAACGCACACCGATAATGAACATATGTTCCTGTACCGTTTTTACAATGGCTTACCAGAATGACGTGTACCTAGGTATGTATAATAAGTACAGCGACCGGCGGTGGTTCATCGATTTTCTAAAGCCATTACCCGACACATAGTTTCTATATACAGTTGTCATATATATGTAGGTATAGGATTTCAGTGTACACACGGATGGCTGGTTAGGTATATATATAAGTAAAAATCCTCGCGCAGAGAGTAAGAAATTACCTCATTATATTGTGTAAGAGATTGAATCGTACGATGGTGGAAAACGGCGGTTGTGAGATAGACGAGAAACAACAGAGGGGGTAGGGACGCAGGTGATTTTTCCTTAAGGGGTCCTGAGGGCAAACCGCCAAGGAGGCGGTGGTCGGGGCCACGCCCAGCGCATATACACCGGAGCAACGTCCTGCGCTCTTGTGCACACTCCGGTTATAAGTATGTGTGTATGTGCGCACTGTCGAACAACACCCAGTATATGTACACACGAGCAAACTTGGAACTTTTCGCCGGTAAGTTTACACAAGTCACGCTCGGCATATACACAATGAGTTTGCCACTAATGGTCTTGTATACACGGTACACGCCAAGTACTTGTACCTACCTATAAACGCGGACCGATCGATATTGTATTATTATAGGTATATATATTTTTACAACCAGCGTCATTATTCGTTACCGACGCTTATTGGCATTCGAAAAGAATTCAATATATTATATTTTATTCTTGGCAACGGAAAACCACTCGAATGCGTCCAACGTGTGATGTTAACAGCCTATATAGCATACCGCAGCTGCCTAAGCCTGGCCAGTGAGCGATTCAACGCATTCTCTAACCTGAGAAACCTTGTACATTAGTTGGATATTATGTGGTTTCCCGATAGGTCAAATACCTACTTTACTTTGTGAATGTATTTTGAGTTTTGTTATAACTAGCTAGTTGAAAAACTACACTAAAATCACATTATATTAGCTCATAACATTTGATCTAAATTAAAATGTATGCCTGTTTTCAAACTCAAATAGTAAAAAAACATAGTACTATGCCAAAAATAAACAGAAACAAACATACATATTGTATACTATTCCTTTTATTCCTTTTGAACGAATAACAACTACTTGTAAAAAAATGCTTATCCGTCCACGTTAACAGTTGTGTGTTTCGCTAAACGATTTGCATATTACACTAAAGGTATAGGTACTGATAAAAATATAGATAATATTTATTATAATTTGTAGTGTACCGAACAATAATAACTGGATAACAATCTATATGGGATGATAATCAAAACCGTATAATTAGATATATGCGCGGTCTCGTTATGGCAGCGGCCGAGTATAAAAAGTTGTACCCAAGTCCTATTGTTTTTTTTTTTTATTCTATCCAAGTATAGCCGATAATAATGTGTGGTATACGGGCAATATTATAAATTTAAATATTAATACAATAATACAATAATACAATAATTTTATCGAATCGTTTATAACCGCATTGTCCGTGTGACACGACGTTGTGTATATATTTTGTGTATACGAGGGTATAATAATATATTATATCAGCTATATTATTATCTATATGTAAACGGTGGTGATGTAAAACAAGGGGTTGATTTAAATTTTCGCCTCGGTCGACGAGGGGTACACGTCGCTCGGTTGACAACCGTGTGGAAAACAGAGTTAATAAAAGGGTATAACAGGGTGTATATGCGATTGTGATAATGCCAGCAGCTCAAGACAGAGGGGCTCAGCCGGATAATTCCCTTCGCCAACCCCCGAAAACAATAACAATATATACAGCGCATTCGCGGCTCTTTCACTTAGCCGCGGCAACGCCATTATCGATTAAATAATATTCCTACATAATAATATTGTATATTATTAACGGCACCGAGCTGCGAGCCCACTCCGTGTACCGTTTTTTTTTAATTTGTAAAACTGTTTACTCCGCAAGAGAGAATAGCGATTAATTATTATTGTAATAACGATAATCACTTGATAAGATCTCCTATCCAATAATGGCATTACTCGAACCATGTCCAATTAATTTCAAACACTCCTATCACGGACACAACTGTTGTGTATTCATATAATAATTTCTTTACTATATTATACACTTACCGCCGCAGTGCAGTAGTAGGTAGGTATTGGAAAGTTAATTTATCCGGATAAATCAGCCAAGGCCTGATGTGGTTAGGTTAAGTCCACAATTAACGCATCCACTTGTAAGGTACAGCAACGCGGCCAGGTTATTTTTATAGTTATGACATTTCATACATTTTCCTTTGACCAAAGAGGTTAGAAAAATAATACTGAATGTACTTCTTATTTTTTTTTTTCAATTCAAACTCAATTTTATTTCTATGTATTACTAATACCACAAATAAATATAACCACTGTATGTATTAGAAGGATTATTATTTTTCATTTCTTTGACCACACTGACCCGCACTATATCTGGTTTTATTAAATCTGTGCTAATATACCGTGTGAATATTAATAGTGTTAGCTCTTTCGATTTTAAATTCGTTATAGCTGTTAATGATTTATAAACTATACTAGGGGATATAATGTACATACACACATAACTGGTGGTGTGGGAAATTTAAAATTCTAAGTTTATTTACATATTATAGCTGTTACTACCGGGAGAAAACAACTAACCAACTGAGTTAATATATTTTTTTTATCCGTTTTATATAAAATATCATTACTTTTAGTGCGCCCGAGTAGCAACAGCTGCGACACTATGTATTATGATTTATTAGTACAATATATTCGATTCTGCGACGATTGCCTCGACTCGACGCTATCATTTAGGTGTCACGATATTGTTACAATATAAGTATTTTAATATTGTATATGTATATACTGAAGCCGTTGTACGTGCATTAAAACGTATGCTTTAGGCGTTAAGTGCTCGACCGACGAAAGAGACGACCTGTCGGCTTACACAAGCGCACAATACTTACATACACGGGAGAGTATAGCTTTTTCGGTCTGTCGCCGTATCCGTGTGTATACATAAAAGCCTAAACTAATGATGCTTCGCACACGGGGACACGCTTTATCATTGCTAGCCGGCACTGATGGATATACACGTGCACGGTTTCCCCCTTTGCAGTGTTTGCGTCAAACGTCTTCGACTCGAACAGGAAGTCTGAAAGCTTTGGTTTGCTCTTCTCGTTCGTGTATATAAACGGATTTTCCTTTTTTTTTTTTTTTTGTATACACAACCTTAATGCGTCCTTTCGTCTGAACCGTATATTATAATATATTCGGGTATCCGGCGACGGTTATTAATGAAACCGAAGTTTACACCACAAATGTAGTGTATACACAGGGGCGTTCTTATATTATTATCGAGCGACTCATTCAATCGCATGCCCAAAGTAAACTTTGCCTGGACCACTCTGCGACGCGGTCATGTCGTCGATTCCCGAGTTTGTATTCTTTTTGGTCCTTCGCGCCGATTATCACATGCCTTTCGGTCAGACGTCTCGCCACCGGTCCGCCAAACAATTAATTATCCCTCTCTCTAATGGACATCTTTCAACGTACACAACATTAGATACTTATGGAAAAAAAACAATCACAATTTTTAATGTATTCAATCGAATCGAATTTGTTTTACGCATAAAAAAATAGTCGTTGGTGCATTTTTTATTTTTACTACCGGCACCAAGATTACATTCTATCGGTATAACGACGTTTCGCAATTATTATTGCCAATAGATAAACCCCACGACGATTACAAATATGTGCGCCCGTACCTACTGTAATAAAATTACTCTATTCCTCGATTTGACACAGTGCACGCGCTTTATCATCTGCCGTTAATGGCGCATCCATTATTATTAGTATTATTATTAAGCCCCGGGCTTACGGTATAAACGAACGCCTCTCGTTATTCTATTATATTATGCTATTGTGTATACCTGATCATGTCGGAAGAGCCGATGTCGACCATCGGGATGGCGTGCGTTTATTGCTAGGGTAGAAAACTCATCGCTCCGCCCCGTTATGTTTTTACCCTCCTGGGCGTACTTAGGGAACCGGTAATTTAAAAAAAACACCGAGACGTTAGACGGATGCGGTTTTGGAAACGAAACCCTAATCAAAGGGGAGCCATTATACTCATCGGCGGGTGTACCTTTTGTTTGTGTGTGTTGGCACCGGATGTACGGGTCTGTGTACTATAATCTAAACGACTATGGGGGATTATTATATTAGTTAGGCATTATGGTCGCCTTTGACGGGTCAGACCGTGTGACTCTCTCGCCCGGGCAAGACGCCTGAGGGTTGTCCAAGGGTCCAAGTCCGACTTGGGATTTGAGTAGTTCTAGCAGAGTATATGAAGTGTGTCTAACGTGTGTTCTTTTGTTTTGTCTCGCAGGTCCCAGATCGCGTCGCATGAAGCGCAAAGAAAAGTGCGCCGAGGAGAAACGACCTCGGACGGCATTCAGCGGCGATCAGCTGGCCAGGTTGAAAAAGGAGTTCAACGAAAACCGGTACCTGACCGAGAGGCGGCGACAGGAGCTGGCCAACGAACTCGGACTTAACGAGGCCCAGATCAAAATTTGGTTCCAGAACAAACGGGCAAAGATCAAAAAGTCCAGCGGCTCCAAGAACCCTCTGGCTCTGCAGCTGATGGCCCAAGGCTTGTACAATCACACCACCGTGGCCATGTCCGACGACGAAATGGAAGAGATGCTGGCCCAACAACATCAACAGCAGCAACAGCAACAGCAACAGCAACAGCAACAAGCATCGTCCGTTTAAGTGTATGATTATTATGATTTTTATTATTATACTCTGTCCCCCGAGAGAACGACACTGCGCAGAAACCAAAACGCATCACTCGCGTGTGCGCCTGCGCAGACCAGAAATGAACGGGTTTTGGTTTCTGCGCAGGGCCGTTCTCTGGTGGGACAGACGCTGTAGCTGTTTACACTACGACTACAGCCGATTACCGCCGTTTCTTCTTCCATTCGCCAGTTTGTTATTTCTTCCACGTTTAGAGCGCATGGAAAAGAAAAACAACTAGTTGTTATGACTCTATTTTTTTTTTATACGTTAAACGGTTAAGGCGTTTAATTATTGTTTTAAATTCGATATAAAATATCTTTACACGTTTTTAACGTCGCACCCGCCTAGAGTTTTAAATATTATTAATATTTTCCCTTTGTAAAATACATGCGGTTTCTAGAAAAAAAAAATTCTTGTATTCGGTTATTCAAATAGGTACAATAATAATGTTTTCTAAAACTAATCTTTTTATTGTTAATTTTCGACCGGATATTATTTTGTGTCGTTATTGGTTTTTTTTGCGCCCAATAAACTAAAAAAAATGTCACATTTGTGACGTTTTCCAATAGTTTTGATCAAATTTATTAGCAGACTAATAAATTATTTTGTGTACATATTTTAATAGTCTTTCCCGTAAGCGTTTTACATTAAAAAATTAATTCCCTGTGAATATTATATTTAACTAAAAATCGGTATATTTATATTATTATTATATAATACGTCGTAGAGAACAACGTTTTATTACTTGTATAGAAATAAATATCGTGTAGACTGAAATCTTAGTAGTTTTCTAAGGATTATTATACAGTAGCGTCATTATTATATATTTATTTTTAATCGGCAACGTTTCGATTTGTTTAATTTGTATTATTATTATTTAATCTAAACAATAATATTATTGATCTAGTCATTAATTTTTACATCGTTTGTATAATATTATAGCAGTGTGTGTGTGTATACACACTATACATACATTTTTTAGTGTACAAAAAATAAATAAAAATATATTTGACCTTTATATATAGATGTATATTATTAGATAATATTATATTGTCATTATTATTATGTTGTGCGAGTATATTATTATTATTATTACATATTGTTTGTGTGTAAATACAATAGACGCAATCAAGCCGGTGTAATTATTATAGTATTATTATACATATAGAATTTAAAAACAAATCAGAAATATACCTATATATATATCCATATAATTAGTATTAATAATTACTTGTTGCGTGGAGTTTTCAACTAAAGTGCATATGAAAAAATCATATTTAGACGGTTTTCTCGAAACAGGTTTTCCAACCGAAAAGTATATCCCGTCTTCAAAGTCAAGACGTGCCGCATAACGTGATATGCCAATTGACATACAATACCTAATTAACTTAATTAACTAACCGAAAACGCTAACATACCTAGTACTACTATTGGCGATCTCATCAAAATATATTTTATAATATGTGTTAATTGATTACCAATAATAGTGGTCTGGTCTACTATCGATTTTTAATTAGTCCGTTTGATTTCTACAACCCACGTTAGGTATTAAAACATATTGTTGTATAAAGAACAAATCCCAAAACTAGTCTTACATAGTAGGATATTATAGTTGAACGCTCCGACCAGATACAACGCCCGACGATGTGCCCAACGCATGATGAAGATCGAAAAAATCATCTACCGTAGATTTAACATAACAATATTATGCCGTCGCTGTCTTTCAATAACTCGAGTACAGTAAACCTTATGTGAGACTTGACCGGGGATGTGGCCTATATGTGTACTTATACTTGTGGCAAAAGGCTAGCCGATAAAATATGCAATATAAGTATCGAATGTTTGAGCAATTATAGAACTTAGAACCTGACCAGTCTCAAGACCTTATGGTAGGTTAGGTTAGACATTTGTTTTAACTTCCTTGATTTGTACTTGCTTAATGTCCACTATTTGACATTGTACGCGTAACTGTTATTCCCGTTTAAAATATACTTGTTTCCGACCTATGCATATCTTTGTTGCTGCTGTATAATAATTATTAATATTATTGGCTGCCAACTCAAATACAATAATTGTTAACTGGCGTCCACTAGATAAAACAAAAACATCGTAAATTTATCATATTATAATAAGCATTGACTTAGCGAGTTCAGTCTATAACAAAAGTCTCTAGATCAAATTCATAAGAGGGAAGCACAATGTACCAGGTAAAGACTGTATTTTGACAACGTTTATGACATAGGTTCAAAAGGAAGCGGCTTAGACTGTCAAATTGGTTTTGCTACTTTAGCTACTTTGGAGTTCGGACACTAGGTTATTATCATTAATACTTACTTCAGACTTGTAAGTATATAAGAAGGTCCTACCTATATAGCTGTCATACTTGGCAAACAAAATTGTTGCATGGAAATTAAATAGGTTTCTACAAAACTTGTATCTAAATACCAAAGGAAAAATGTTTAATGTTAAAAAATTGAAATCCAAAATTGTTTAGTGTCATCATTTCAAAACTACACTCAACACCTACAACATTGCATACCGCATATTGTGATTGTATATTATTATGGTACCTATACATGTGTATGTGTCATAACTATATACACCGGAGAAACGATTACAACGACTTAAGTCCCGTGACGACGCGTTGGAAACAATTTTCATAATCGATTTCCGGCGCGTGCGCGTTCGGATCACATCCCGTACAACAATAATCGGCATTGGTTTCTGATAACAATAATGATATCGTTAAAAATGGAACATTGCAGCAAAAATAATATATTATTATATTATATTGTGGTGTTAATATTGCGCACTAGTAGCCGCGGTCGTCGACTGCCAACAGTGACAAATCGTACGGTCGTATTGCCTCACACAGTATAGATATGTATATCTACCTAATAAAAATAATAATAATTATATACCTAATAGAAAAACAATAATATTTAAACAAATTATTCACGGTTAAGCTTTAGAGCTTGCGTTCCGACTAGCGGCCACGGTCGATTATTATTAAGTATTTGTAATAAAGGTATTTTTTTAATAGGTATTAAAAATAGTTCCTACTAATAATTTTTTTTTTTTACTATCGAGAACAAATTGCATATAAATACAATTAAAACCGACGTGGATTATCCAATCGATTGACAGGGGCCCGCCCGTTTTTTTTTAAATTTATTCATTAATATTATTGTCATTGTCGTCAACAAATGATTATTAGGTATGATAATATATTTTAAATATCGTTAAAAATATCATTTATTTTTAATACCGCCCATTAGTCAGCTGATGCCAGACCGTGACCGTCGTCGTCGGGCTACCAGCTACACCTTCATCTTCAGCAACAGTATGTGTAAAATTTTTAATTAAAAATCGTCACATTTAAGAAGAGTTTAGTGTAAAACATTTTTCAATGTTGTAATACTATACCTATTTTTTAAGCTCGGCAAGAATCGTTATCACCAAGCTTGAGTTAACCTAAATCTAACCTATGACAGTTGATGTAAAGAACTAAATTTTATACGTTTTTTTTTACAGGAAAGCAAAATGAAAATAATACTACCAATGTGAGTCTACACCTCGATGTTCTTTAGTTACCTTCATTTATACATCTTACAAAAGTCGACTATAAGACAATAATACACATAGAAAAATGATACGTTGATGTAACAATGTAACATGTTTATGATAACGTTTCCCTAACAATAATATTAGTTAAAAAACAAATTTGTCATAATTTTTTAAAACACTTCCCAGGAAAAAAATGTAATTAAAAATGGTTTCATGTCACAAAAATTTGTTTAACTGAGTGAAAATCATTAAATCAAAATATACCTACGGTTAACATATATTTAGCAATATTTCATAAGCGTTATAAATACAATAAGTATACATGAAATATATGTTAAAAACTTTAAACGAATAAAATTATGCTCAAAATATGTTTGTACCCAAACCCTTGGGAAGTTTTTATCTCTCTTAATTTGTGCGTGGGAATAAAGCGCGTTGGGACCTTATATAATATTGTATCCTTTTGAATGGTTAATAAACGTCTTAATTTACGACGAGTTTGGATAAAAAGAAAAAAACATTATTCAAACGACTAAGATTGAATTACTTAATATTGACATAACAATTGACCATTGATTCGGACTCGGCAGTGGGTGTAATTGTGCTACAACGACACTGCCGAGTTAAGGTTATACTGGCGCAGCAGTTATTTGAAATAATCTTATTTGGTTTTAAGTAGAAAAAAAATAGTCATAAATAGTTACAAAGTTAGTTTGAGAACGAAGTCTACTCCTATACTTATTTGAGTCATATATAATAGTATGTAGGCCGCATTCGGCCAAGACTTCATTAAGTATTCTACTCCAGTTTGACAGGCAGCGCGTAGACACCGCCAGCATAGCAAAATATAGTACATCAGTTTGGTACGCTCTCCAAACAGAGACACGTGTTACACCACGGCCAAAAAGTTACCAAAAGATTATGGACTTTTTGAAATAATTTATATCCACCTGAGTCCGAAGCGGTGTGTAATCTGGCGAACAAGTTTTAGGAAAATAGAGACTTGCGACCGACTAGAATAATACAGTCAGTTGTTTTACATACAAGTGTGTATAAATTACCTGAACACGTTAGATGTATTTTTCTTGTTTGACTTTCTAATGTGATGATTAGTCGTTGTAACGCGACTGCGGTTTGCATAATTATTTTAACGACACAAATAAAAGTAATATGGAACATATTATAAGTATATCCAGTCGATACCGCTTTGATTGAATTATATTAGTTGAGCAGATATGCAAAGATTTTTTTCTTTTTTTTTTTTACTTATTAAATTTGATTTATGTCTGCCGCGCCGCCGTAATTACTGTAATACCCACACATGACACGTATGAGTGAACAGCTTGTGAACACATTATAATCGCCGACGGGTTGATGATACACACCTTCGCCAATGTTAATGCGCGTCGTGCGAGAATGGGCTGTATTTTATGATGTGTATTACATTATGTATGTATATTATTATACGCTTTTGTCGCATTCTTTGGCTGGAAACCGCCATGGCCGTAATAGCGGTGGGAAAACGGCCGTAAATTATACATCAAGTTACACAGGTACGGGCTGCTGCGAAATTACCTAAAGTTAATGAGACGAGAAACGTTTTAATTATCCATACGGCTTAATATAATAATATAATGCAGTACATAAACGCTTACTCGCCGTGTTGTTCGTACAAACAAGTTAACTATATCTTTTTAAACGGTATCGGCCGCTTACCGACCCGTGTAAGACAAGGGGGATGTGTAGTTTCAGAGGGAAGGGAAAAATCGGTTGTTCCTGAGTACTAAGTTATAATATCATACTGCTTAAACACATATTGAGGAGTCTAGTTAGGCCAGCTGTCCCAAACTGGAACATATAGTCGTGTAAAGATTTGGGTCGGTTAGCAACTCATGTTAGGTTAGGACTTGGGTTGATTGAGGTCGGTTCGTTTTCATTACTGTTGCTCACGCACTTTGAACATGCTCAAACTCCTTCGGTCTATGTCTAGCTTGACTATATATGTATATTGATTTAAATTAATATAGATATGCGTATTGTAAACAAATAATATATACTTCATATTAACATATATATATACTCATTGGCGTCGTGTGGTCGATATCATCCGACCAAAAAATAATTATTAATTAGCGAAGGGAAGTTGAAATTAAGTGTTACTAAAAGCGATTTCCGTGTACAATTATGCTACAGACCGTCTTGTCTTTCGAAAGACAAGACGAAGAGTGTTGTAAAAAGCAAACGACTAAATTTAACTTGTGCCTTGCAA